CCCCAAAACCCCAAAACCCCAAAACCCCACTTCTTCCCACATACTGAAACAATAAAAATGCTTGAAGATACTTCCCCTCTCTTACTATTTGTGTGAGCATATGATGTGGGATTGATGGTGGTGAATTTGGTGGTATTTGTGGGACTGATGGTTGTTGGGCCGAAGTGATTTGGAGTGGCTTTTGGTGTGAGAGTGGGGGTAATAATGTGCCCAAAAGCTGTAATAGCCATTATCTCATGGTTAAAATGCTTTAAAGGACCTTGGGAAAAGAGAAAGCTCAATTTCAACACATTCATCCTCATGCTCCAAATCCCTTTCGACATCTCTGTAATAATTGGTAACCCGCGAGCTCTATCCTATAGCTAATGAGATGTTGGTGGAGAATGGATGGGTCAGGGATTTCAGAGTTGGTGTGAATGTTGCTTATGGTGTTATGACCATTATCGACGTGATCCTGATAATGATTCTTTGAAGGTATATTCACCTCTTTGCTCTTTTTCTTACTAACCTTATTACAGCCAAGTCTACTTAGTCGAGCACCCTCAGAAAGATATTAAAAGAAGAGAAATTGTAAACAAACAAAATGCTAAGGTACTGTAACAGTTTTTATGGGAAATACAATTCCTGTCTTTTAAATGCTGTTACTAACTTCTCGAATAGCCACAAAAGAACCCAAAACTAGATTTAGAAACTCGAATGCATAATCTTGCTGAAGACTCTACTCCTCAGCAAGAGGAGGTTGTTGAACCATAAGTTACTGAACTTTCATCAAGAATGTACAGAAATAACTTTTGATACTAAGTTAAAAGCTAATCCCAGTCCAAAGACTCTCTAATACTCTCCAAATATCCCAGGGGCCCTTCTTCATCTATTTTCTCCACTCCCTCTTCCTTAACATCCAATTTCCTTCTATCCCCTACTATCTCAGCCAAGTTCCATTCCTCCCTAACACTCTCAAAAAAGTAAGCCGCCCCAACAATGAGTAGACCGCACCAAATAAATTAAATTCAGTAAACAAAGTAAGCTGAGGGGTTTTGGGGTTTTGGGGTTTTGGGGTTTTGGGG